CCAACACTATTTTCAAGAAACTCAGTGGATCTGACTTTGTGATCCACTCAGGCTGACCGTGAGGAGCACACAGTATTCTCTTGGATAGCCAAGGAACCGTGTGGAGTCAGCTCACTTTAACTGCAAAAGGAACAGCACGGCCCACTGTCACTTAGGAGGTGTTCGGGGACCAGAAGTTCTGGTGAGATTCTGGAAAGCCTCAGGCTGCACAGGACTGTTTCATACATACTGAAGAAGACTGCAAATATTTGGAGCTGGTGTTTCTGATTAGCTGGGCCCTGAAGTTTTCTGAAGGGAAAATATTGGACGTTACAATGAGTTCTTGAAAGATCACCATCTTTCTCATTCCCATTAGATCGGCAGTTGTCAAGCAGTGGGTTGTGGCCCCTTTGGCTCAAACAACCTTTTCAGAGGGATGCATCACCGTCGGAAAACACAGATACTACAATTCATAGTAGCAAAATTACAGTTATGAAGTAGCAACAAAGATGATTTTATGGTTTGGGGGTCACCACAACATGAGATTATGTTTAAAATGGTCATGTCATTAGAAAAGTTGAGAGCCACTGCCCTGCCATCAATAGAAACCCTTTGGCCTTCTTTGTGTCATACTTACTCAGAAGCTCAAACGGATGTAAAGGGAAAAGGATGGTGTGTTAAAACCTGATTTGGTCAGTCCTCTTGGCATCTTAAGATACTATGAACACATCTTCCTCTAAGGGACAAGATACAACAAAACCCTCCATTTTAGATATGCTAGCAAGCTTATTCTGTTTGATTTCTTTTCCCAAACTTAACAAATCAGACACATGAACTCTGGTGGAAAAACCCACATCACTTTCGTGAAGGATGGGGCATTATGTTCCTGAAAGTTCTATATTGCTTTTTGAATTTCATAATTTTTGTATTTCAAAATAATGTAGACCATCAATGCAAAAGGCCATAGTCTTTAATAATATTGTAATGTAGCTAGGAATATCTACGAAATTATATTGAAATCCGCAGAGAAATCAGCTCCACATTTCTCGAAGGGTAGTTTGTTCTGCCTACAAGTAGAGAAGTTCGCAGTAGACTTATTTTTGAAGGTTTTTACATCTTCCTAGTTTTTAGATGGATGTAGTTAGTGTTCAACCTCTTTCATTATCTGGCAGCGTTAGGCTAAATAAAAACCCAGCTTCAGAATGAGCTTTGGGTTCAGGCAGCCCTTGTCAAGGAGTCAAAGAAGCTAGCTTTCTTTACATTACCAACACGACAAAAATCCACATACAAAATCTGTTTAATGATTATTCACGTAAGTAGGTTTATAGAGACAGAAAATAATCCCACACGACGTTTTCTTTAACCAAGCAAAACACAGTTCTAGCGGCGAAGCCTTGGCAACAAGCACTGAGAGAGCACTGAGTAAGACAACATCGCCCTCTGGAGGATCCAGGTGGAACTACAGAGCAGTAACCAAACAATTGGAGCGCGACAGAAACAATGCTACATACACGGCCCTCCTGTAAAGGTCTCTGAACTCTGTTTCAAGCTTCCAGTCCATGGCTTGCACTATTGTTATTGAGAGACTTAAGAGCTGAAATTGTAACCCTGACATCTTTACGAACTTTAAAATTAGTTTATTAGAATTGAATGTGGTGGTGGCGCAGCCTGTAATCCCAGCTCCTTGGCCGACTACGACAGGAGAAACAGTTTGGAGTTCCAGGCCAGCCTGGGATACACAGTGAGGTCCATCTCAAACAAAACAAACACCTCAAACCAGAAACAACAGAAGCAGCCTTCACCGGCAAACAAAAGTCAGGATTCTGAAATGAGAAACAAGGCACCCCCAAACGCATCTTGTGGGCCCCTCTTCTTGAACTAGGTAGGGCCTTATATCAACCCACAAGAACTTTATTCATGAGAAAGTGTAAATGACTCGTAGGTTAATTTTATCAGATGCATTTACATATTAATGGGTTGAAGGTTTTAAGAGAGGCAACAACCAAAATTTCTAGTTTGGGAGAGCAAGATAACTATCTCCCTTATATCTTTTTTTTTTACATTATGCTGATTTTGCAGGGTGGCAAGCCCCACCATCGTAAATCAAGAGGCATGCATACTCCATTTTACAATTCTTCGTTGTTAGTTTGAAACTAACATAGCCTTTACCATACTGATAGGCTCATTTTGATGACACTGTTTGAGGAAGCTCAAGAGTTAAAAATCACCCATTTTGTGTATGCATTTGTAAGGGCCTTTGCATTATTCCAATTAGATACTGGTGTTTTCATCAGGGAGGATCACAGTCCCCCACCTGATGCCCCCCAATATCTATTATACATACACTGTTCCTTGGGGGGTGTAGGTCAACGGGGAAACTCTTGGTTAACAGGTCTGAAGTCTTGGGTTCAAGTTCCAACAACATAAAAATCACATTCTTTTTTCTTTCTTAACAGTTCCCAAATCAGTAGTTAGCAATATTTGTATAATTAAACTAAAAATTGAATGCCAGTATCTCACATTTTTTACACGTATGGTATCACGGATCCATGAGGGACAGAGTTCAGCTTGACACTGGGCTGCAGGATCATTGAAAAGACACAGATCTCTGTCCACATGGCTGAGAGTGGTGGCGCCCCACCTTTAGCCCTGTCCCTTGGGAGGCAGAGACAGGTTGATCTCTAGAGTTCAAGGGTCAGCCTGGTCTACGTAAGGATTTCCAGGCTAGCCTGGGTTATACCGTGAGATCTGATCTAGGAAGAAAGAAAGAAAGAAAGAAAGAAAGAAAGAAAGAAAGAAAGAAAGAAAGAGAGGAAGAGAGGAAGAGAGAAAGAGAGAGAAAAGACAAAGAATAAACTCTTTGTTCACAGACACGACCACAAAAACACCTTCCTCTTCCCGTCCCTCTCTCACGTTTCCCACCAACTTTTAAAAGAATCTTTGAATCCATAACAACAGAATTTCTAACACTTTCTGGTTCCCATTTTAAATAGACCCTCTACTTGAAGCATTTGCACATACACACCCCAAGCAGCCTTTGTTCAGTTCAGACCAGTTCAGTTTTGATAACATTCCTTGGCATGAACTTGGCCTAGACAACCGGAAGCTTGTATCACTTGGCTAGATAGACGTTCATCTTCCTGACTGTGAATGAACAAGAGACCCATCTAATAAAACAGTGCAGGAGACACATGCTTTCTTGAAGGCAGTAGGGATACTCCTGTTGACCCTTCCCCCAAATACAGATTAATAGTTGATCAACAAGCCACTCTAGCATTCTGGGGTTCCTTTTTTCTTCACTTGTCCCAATAACTCAAAACAGAACATTCCATGTGTGTATATATTAAAATAAAGAGTTTAGACATTCCCCATGTGTAAGGCACAAAATTCACAAATCACTCACAAAAAGGATAGAAAACAAAGGTTTGGAGACTAGCAAGTGACCTAACAGTTGAAGAGGTTCATTAATCTGGAGTTGAAAACTTTAGCTTCCCTTTTTAGTACACAGGGACCTTATACTGATCGGAAAAGCAGCCTGTGAGTTGAAGGCATCTCAGCCCTTCCTCAACCACAGCCTCCTTCACTGGATTCACACAGAAGACGGTCCTCAGGGAGAGCTGTGTGGCCAAAACATATCAGCAGCAAGCACCGGTCCCTCACATCAGCCGCCGGCAGCAATATCACAAACAGTGCGTTTGGCCATCAGGTGCCTTGTTCTTACTCAGCGGACCTTCAGGGGCCAACGACAGTGAGCACACATGTACCTGTCCTAGGACCCACTTTGTTTCTTCTCAAATCTGAGATGGAACTGCCTGTTTGAGGAGCCTGAACTGGGGTAGCCAGGTTGGTCCATCATGGGACAGCATCTAACAGAAACTTGAACCTTGGATCTTAGGATCCGCTTGAAATAATTAGCTTTCTCGAAGAACTTTAGAGCCATGCTTTTAAGAGAGTCTGTTCAAACCTTCAGACAATCAGTCTCCTACAACCAAATCTTCAGACAACCCTAGATGGCTTGCAGTTAATACTGCAGTCCACAGGTATAAACTAGAAGGGACCCATGGGCAGCAAACAGGCAAGGATATCATGTTTGCTGGCTGGGTCTCCCGGCTTGGGCTTGGCACTGTTCAATCTGTTGATGTTTCTGTATTACATGAGAATCAGCTTCCTGAATGTTCACATGGCTCCAAGCATTTCTTGGAAGTGTAATAGCTTCAGGATTCTTTATGTTACCATGCAGACTAGGGATGAGAACAGTAGTACTTCAGGCGAATCGGCCAGCTAATTGGTTATCCTGAGAGAAGAGCCAGAGGTGCAGTGGTTGAGACCAGAAATCAGATCAATTGAATAGTCCATTCTGTCTAAGAGTTTCAAGGAATCATCTTGGAGATTCTGATTTTTTTTTCCACCCTAGACAATCTGAAATCCTGATAAGAAGACAGAGTCCATGGGTCAATTTACACAGATGCCAAGACCAGCAGTGGAGGATGGCTGTCCTGTTAGGGTGAAGAACGGCCAATATTCTTGGCAGTCCAGTTTGATTATCTGTCTAGTTTCAGGACTCGGCTTTGGAAGCCATAACCAGAATTCTGCTCACTGTTCACGCGTGAGGACAGTTCTCCTTAGTTTGGGATCTCATGAATCTTAGCCAAGATCTCTTCCCAAACAAGGCTATATAACCCAGACAGAAAAATGAATGCTCTGTTTTATAACTTTCAAATAGCCTGCATTTGAAATTCCATAGTCACACTATGCCTTTGAAAATACATAATAACCTTTTTTTTTGGAGATAGAGTATCATGTATCAAAGTCTAGCCTTGAACTCACTATGTGTCGGAGGCTGACCTAGAATTTCTGATCCTCCTGCCTCTGCCTCCTTGGATGTTACTATCCTGGCTTTTGTGGCACTGGGGATGATCAAACCCTGGGCTTCCTGCATGCTATGCAAGCACTCTCTACCAATGGAGTTTCATCCTCAGCCTGTAATACATATTAAGTTAAAAAAAATGAAGCCTTAAAAATAAAAAGTCAACTTCTATTATTGGGTCAAGTTTTCTCCAAGTCACAGTAACCCCACCTCCACACCTTTCCTCATTTGCTGACCTCAGGAGTCTTTCTTAATCAGTCTGTCCTTGACCTTGTGCCTCAGAAGTGAGGCGGTGGCCCCACTGCATGCAGCTAAAAAGAAAAAGGAGAGACAGGCTGTGTAGACAGACAGGGGACCATGGCGCTGGAGGAAGATTTCATGGCGTCCCTGGTAATCCAGAAGAATGGCCTCCAGCTGAGAGAGCGTGCAGATGGAAAGGAAGGCGTGGAAGATTTGATGTCCATGACCCACAATGTCACAGGAACCGGGGAAGTACTTCTCCGGTACAGGACATGAGAAGAAGTACGCGCTGACAAGGAAGAAGAGGATCTGGAGGGTGTGGTACCAGGCTGCCTGCTCCTGGCAACCGGCCAGGTGGCAGAGAGCCACGCGGTGTGCCACGGGGCTGATGTCTAGGACGAAGGCCAGCCCTGCTGGTACCACTTGACAGATCTTCCGCATAACTGGATAAGGCCGTCGGTAGCGATACTTGGCGTAGCAACAGCCAGCGCAGGATAGCCAGCCACAGAAAGCCGCCGCCGGTAGGAAGAAAAGCCAGAACCGCTCATACCAGGCCTGGTCGGAGCTATAGAAAAAGTGAGCCAATGCGCTGCCATACTGGTAGACGCTGACCCCGACGTAGTCTACAAAGTAAAAAGTGTAGTGGGACAGCTCTGATTTGGACTGCAGCAGGTGGGCCAAGAGGCTGCAGGTGAGGTAAGTGATTGACGACAGGATAAAGAGGAGCAGGGGTAGGGTGTGGGGGGAGGCCCACTGCAATGCCCCTGCCTCCACAAAGGCCCAGAATCTCAAAAGGACTGCCAGGGCCGCCAGCAAGTGGGTCCAGACATTGACCACCTCGTTGTGCTTCTGAAAGAGGCTGAAGAAGTAGTAACGCCACTCGTGCCCCGTGGGGCGGTAGCCCGCGTGGATGTACGGCTCCCTAAAGAGCTGGGGCACGTCGGTTTCTGGAACGGTGCATGGCATCTTGGGGAGCCCTTCTTCCAGAATCTTGGGCAGACGGCGCAGCTGCTGCCCGCTCACAGACAGGGTGCTCAGGCGCTCCAGGATGGCGGTCGTCATGGTAGCAGTGGCCCCCGGGCTCCTCAGGGCTTAGTAAGACAACCTGAAGGAAAGAGAGGAAAAGTGAGAGAATGTAGCTAAGTTGGCCAAGTAACTATATCTTTTCATAATGGAGCACGGCTTGCTCAGACAACCCGGGAAGCACGGAATTCCAGATGGGTTCTCTGCGCCTCGTTTTCTTTATCTGTACTGTGGAGTTGCAGCATCCTCCGTCACTGTGGCAGCATTCAGACTCCTTGGTTACTGTTGTCTACAGTGTGAGGGAGAGGCATCTCTTGTATAACGGCTGTGGTAGTCCCGCATGACCCTGTAATAAAAGCTAAGGATACCTAGAAAGTAAAGACCACTATATTCCCTAGTTACTACTTAAATGTAATCAATAAGTTGTCCTTGGATTATTAAGTGGATTAAAATAAAAGAATAATTTTCAGTTGGGAATGATGGCATATGCCTATAATCCCAATACTCTGAAGGCTGTCAGTTGGAGGCCAGGCTGAGTTCCACAACTCACGGTCACCTATGCTATATAGCCATGTCTTATCGATTGATAAACAGACAGACAGACAGACAGACAGACAAATAGTGAGTTCTAGGACAGCCAGGGCTGTTACACAGAGTAACCCTGTCTCGAAAAGCCAAAAGTAAACAAACAAACACGGCATCTATTTCTTCAGCACCCACCTAATCTGTAACTATTCACTAATCTCCCTGGAAACTTTAAAATCTAAGGTAAGTAATTGGCCGACGTTGAAGTTAAAGGCAGATTATTTACCAGTGAGATTTGGAAAGAGCTGTGCATACTGTGGAGTATCTGGGCAGTGTAAAGTCATCACTGTTTGAAAAACAAACGTGTTGGGTATATTGGTACCCATCTGCAAAGTCTTGTCATGTTCCAGGCCTGTTACTGCAGTGAGCCCTCTAAGTGGGTCAGTCACAGAAGCCCAGGCACACGGATCCCTCTGCTGGCTGACGGTGGAAACACCGCTTAGCTTTTTCTTTCTGTTTTTAGATTAATGTATTCTGCTGAGCATTTTCTTTCTTTATTCAAAATGAAAACATTTATGTGGCTTTTTTAGTGTGTGTGTGTGTGTATGTGTACATACACACATACTTGGGTGCCTTGGCACATCTGTAGAGATTAGAGGACAACTGGAAGAATTCTCTCTCTCCCTCTTTCTGTCTCGTAGGCTCCAGGGACCAAATCCACATTGTCAGATTTGTAGTTAGGGGTCTTTACCAGCTAAACCCTCTCAACACTCCTTTTCAAGGTCATTTTCTTAGTTCTGTACTCTCTGCCTGACCAAGTCCTTAATATTCTTACCTTTAACGCCTGAGTCAAACCAGTCATTCAACAGAGGAATTAAAAACATGGCCTAAATATAGATAGTTATAACTAAAATCTGATTGCAGAGACTGCTCTATTTTTTCGTTAGCTGGTGCTGAGGGAAGCAAGTAGCTTGGGATTTGCCTCTCCCGGATAACTACGTCCATAGGTGATGAGTTTCAGGATTCGGAAATGCTTGCATTATACTTAGGATTTCTAGGTGGTGATTCAGCCAGATGCACACAAGACTTATATCATAAAATTGATGGGTTTTCATATATCATAAAATTGATGGGTTTTCATGTGCGTTCACTGAGTAAAATGCATTTTAACACACAGGCACTTTCGGTGTCTTTTCTAAGCTTTTTTTCTTTCTGGAAGAAACTTAAATTCTTGCTTTATCTAAATGCCCCCTTTTTCCAAAGGTCCTCAACCAAAGGGGACGCAGCAAGTGCTGCTCAGAAAGTGTAGTCTCTTAGCTTCCCATTTTTAAATGCGGAAACAAAAATATCCTGACCAATACAGATGCAGATGCTCACGGCCAACCATCAGACTGAGCACCAGGACCCCAATGGAGGAGTTAGGGGAAGGACTGAAGGAGCTGAAGGGGCCTTATCTGGCATCAATGGGAGGGGAGGCCCTTGGTCCTATGAAGACTTCATGCCATAGTGTAGAGGAATGGTAGGGTGGTGAGGTGGGAGTAGATGGGTGGGTGAGCACCCTCACAGAAGCAGGGTAAGGGGGAGATGGGATAGGAGGGTTGCAGAAGGGAAACCGGGAAAGGGGATAACATTTGAAATGTAAATAAATAAAGTATCTAATTAAAAAGAAAGAAAAATATCTAGTAAGGTTTTTGAAAAAGGTCAGGAATAAAAAGAAAAAAAAAATGTCAAAGAAGTTGAGGACGACCTGGAGCTAAGCCCTCGTTTTGCTGTTACTTGAATGGCCAGCAAGAACTTTACAGGTCTCAGTCTCTTCCTCTATAAAACGAGGGTAAGAATTTCACCTGTTGTGTACGTTGTTGTGATGTCTAAGTTGCCTGGTCTGAGAGGGTGATCAATAAGTGTTAAGTACTTCTGGGTTGGGTCTGTGTTAGGCAATAAGTTCTAGGCAGTAGGGATACAATAGCCAAAAAGAGAGGCTACTTGCCTTTGTAGATATTAGTGTCTATAGTGTTCCATAGATAGATACGTAGTGGGATTATGACAGAGAGGTGCAGTCCTCGATCCAGCTGAGGCACGCAATGACACACGGGGTCTCTGCAAGCAAGCAGGGAGGGAGAGCTGGCAGATAAGCTACTTCAAGTGCTTCAGTCAGGACCTGAGGAACTCCTGAAAGAAAAAAAAAAAAACAGATGAAACAAAATGTAAGACCTCAGGTAGAGAACAGATAATTTACGAAATTATTTTATTTTATGAGTATGTGTGTTTTATGTGTGGTTTATTTGATGCTTTGCCTGCATGTGCATATTTGCACCACACATGTACCTGTGTCCAGGGGAGCTCAGAAGTGTGTGTGGCTCCTCTGGAACTGGACTTACAAATGGGTGGGACTTGGGAACTGAACCCGAGTCCTCTACAAGACTGACAAGCGCTCTAACCAATGGACTATCTCTTCAACATCTATGCTTTTGTTGTTGTTGTTGTTGTTGTTGTTGTTGTTATGAGGCAGGATTATGTTCTGTAACGAAGGCTAGTCCTTGAACACATGAAACTCCTACTTCAGCATCCCAATTCCCATTCCACCATGTTCTGCAACTTGAAGAACTTTTTAGTCACAAATCTAGAAACCGCAACTTCTCTGTATGACACTGGCAGAGAGACATGAGCTCCAGTCCTGAACACTGCTGTCACAGGTCATATGCCTCTAGCCTGCAATCTCTCATCTATGAAATAGTTAATGAGAAGCTGCCTTGCACACTGAAGTAAGAGCTATAGGACAGAAGCCCTGGAAAGTAGTTAACAAGATGCTTGGTTCTAAACACAATAACTCACTTGCTTTCATTAGTGCCATAACTTATTTGAGATGCAGGCACGGTGGTTTGTGCATATCTTGTTATCCTCTATCGTGGCATTCATCACCCTGTGTCCACTTAGCCAGTGCCCATCAAACAGAAACACACACACACCACAAACACATACAATCTTGCCAGGATACTGAATTAAGGCTCAACATAGAAACTGAAGGTACCAAGAGAAAAACAAGGATTACAGGATGTATCAGAAAGAGAAACACAGAAAAAGACAATATAGAAGAAAGTAGTTATTAGGATATCTTCATTCATCTAAAAATAGAAAGAAAGAGAGATCACAGTGCCTGGGCTTCTGCTGCTGAGCTTGAAGGGACACCTACAGGGATGAGCTTGGAAGACAGGATGACCCTTCAATATGTCCTGCTGCTGTTAGCAACATCTTTTCTGGAGATGCTGGGTTTTATGGAACTCCGTTGTTCATACACCGGCTCCTGTTATCTCTCTTGTAAAGCAGGTAAAAAAATGAGACAAAGGAGTGGAGAGACAGATATTATTTAAGAGCTTGCTGCTTTTTCAGAGGACCTGAGTTTGGCTCCCAGCCCCTACCTCAGGCCCGCTCATGTGACACCAGTTCCAGGGGATCTAGTGACTTCCTATGGCCTCTGTAGCTACCTGTGCGTGTGCAGCACACCGACATACACACATACGCATAAGCAAAAATAAATCTTTTTTTAAAAAAAGAAATGAAATGACTTCCATTCCAGTTTTATGGTTGGGAGACACTGAGGATAGGAAGCTGTGCAGAAAGACACCGAGCAAGCAGGCTCCATTCAAATACCTCAATAGGACATTTTCATAGTGTTGAGAAACTCATACCAATCACATCAAGTTCTGTACCCAGAGGTAAACGATACAGTACTTCACAAATCCACCCTTCCCATCTTCCAATCCTCTCAGATAGGATATCTAGTCAATGAATCCCTATGACCCAATGACGACACAGTTTCTAAAGACTAAAACTTTAGGGTTTGGTCAATAGATAGAATGGAGCATCATTCAGTTATGAGATCTAATGGTTGTCAGTCTGCTCTGAGAGAGAAGATAGTGATGCTGCCCACTTCCTGGTCCTCAACCAGCTACCGATACAGAGGCTGTTATTACAGCTCTTCCGATCTTCCTATACTGCTCATGCCCTTTTTCACTGTATGCTGAATTTCTACTAAAAATTGGGCATTTTTACTTTGCTCTCACAGAAAATCAACTAGGAAGAGGTTTATGGAATTAAAAAGCAGAAATGGGGGCCCGGCGGTGGTGGCACATGCCTTTAATCCCAGCACTTGGGAGGCAGAGGCAGGCGGATTTCTGAGTCTGAGGCCAGCCTGGTCTACAGAGTGAGTTCCAGGACAGCCAGGACTATACAGAGAAACCCTGTCTCAGAAAAACAAAACAAAACAAAACAAAACAAAAAAAAAGAAGAAGAAGAAGCAGAAATGGGGAAGACTGGGCTGGAGAGATGATTCAGTGGCTAAGAGTGTTGACTGCTCTTCCAGAGGTCCTGAGTTCAATTTGCAGCAACTGCCTGGTGGCTCACAATCACCTGTAATGGGAACTGATGCCCTCTTCTGGTGTGTCTGAAGACAAGCTACAGTGTACTCAGATACATAAACTAAAAAAATAATTCTTTAAAAGAATGAAAAGAAAGGGGTAAGATCAAAGGAATATTAACTTTAACTTCAAAGAAACACACACACACGCACACACACGCACATGCACACGCACACACACACACAGCAGAATCGCCATTTCCTTTGCAAATTAGATGTTTACATTGCAGCCACCTCAGTTGTTGTATCTCCTTCATAAATCTCTGTGTTGTGTACCTGAGAGTGAATTCTGGCTATCCGGCAATAATGCTGCCATTATATAACCCAGAACATAATTTCATAAATGCCTCAGCAACCTGGGGGGGTCTTAAAGATCTAGTTGTCTTTCTAAGGACCGGATAGGCTTACATTTTCCTTTGTGGGTCCAGGCGTATGAAATTCTAAACACATCAGAAAGACAGGGCACTATTTCACTGTTTTTCCTTAGTAACTACCTCTTTGTCTGATAGGAGAGCCTCCCTTTGAGAGTAACCAACAAAACCACAGTCATAACGAACACTCAATGCTGTTTTGTTTTTTAAAAAAAAAACCACTAACTCCTTATCATTGCCTACAAGGAAGCTGATTGCAAGATGAGCCTGTGACATTGCTGCCTTCGTGGTAGACATGTCGCCTTTACTTTGGGACAGTCTCCTGTCTGAGTCTGTACATGCACATTAACCACTCAGAGTGTCTGCCCAACCTGTCTCATCTTCTTTCAAGGTTGAAGCCAGTTTCTGTCCTAAACCTGCAGTTACCTTTAATTCCAGGACAACCAAAAGGACTTCATGAAACTGACCACTCTCTTAACCTCAAAGGAATTATCCAGGATGTAACAGACCATCGTTATCATGTGGAAAACTAGATTGATCCCTTCAATAAATAAGGACTTCTTCAGAGCACCTCAAAGAGGCAGAACTGAATCTATAATCGACCAGACCACACCTAAGTGGGGACTGCTCATTTACGACCATGTCTCGCTCTTCTGCCTCAGTTCTTGTTCTAATCCACCTAGACCTCATGTCAATGACTTGAAGACTGACTTGGGAGTGCCTAGACTCATTGTTTGTTCCTCTTCGCAATGTGTTGAGTAAATCCCCTCCTCTCTATTGTTACCATCACTTGAGGCTTTACTTGGCATATTGGGATAGGTCGGTAAACCCAACTCATCACAGATACTGGAGCTTGCTTGCACTTTAGTGCTTATACTCCAGTTCTGTAGTCGTGGCAATGAATTATAATTCTTGTTAACACTGAATTCCTAAGACACTGTCTTGTGGAGCCTCGAAATCTTACCCAGTGGTCTTTATTTTCATCGAGCCAGAGACGGCATTGCTTGTACAGGAGGGCTTCTAAGGGCCAGCTATAAAGTCTGAGCCCATTTTGAATGTAGACATCTCAGTATTCAGCTACAGTACAGTACTTCTATATTCCTAGTGACTATTCTGAGCAAAGACCTATACCTCACTCTGGCTTCTTCCTTACCTACTCCTTCCTATGATGTGGTTAGCACCCAACCAAGATACCACCTCAGAATGATATCCCTTGTACAGACTCACTCAGCTGCCCTCTTCCCGCTAGACAGCTGCAAGTTCAATCCTCAAGACCCCTCTTCAAACAGAGAAGCTCAATCATTTCAAGTCAGTCATTTTGGCCAATGAGAACTTTCCTATAACAGCAAGTAGCCTACTCCAGACTCCAGGCCACAGAGGAAGATTAAAACGAGACCCCTTTCCTCAAAAGACTTATTCCAAAGAGATAATTCTGCAGTCCATATCACTAGTTAGCCCAAAATCAAATGTAGAGTGAGGCCCAAACAAATCTCTATGGATCAGACTAGTGTAGGCCAGTCATGAGGAAACAGATTGGTGTTCGGTCTAGAAGGTTACAAAGGGACAAAATATGAACAGAGGGATGATGTGGCTTCTTGGTGGGTCTATAGCAGAGGGACTATTTGGGAGTAATACGAGAGGGAATGGGGTAAGAGTAGTGACATCAGTAAGAAATGAGGTTCAGTATTATAGAAGGAAAATGGAGGTTGTGCTAGGAGAGATGGTACAGGCTAATAGACCCAGGCAGTACCTGGATAGTAGAAGGATCAAGAGTTCGAGGACATACTTGGCCACATTGTGAGATGTTGTCTCAAGACAAACAAGACAGCAATGGAAGTAAATGCAGGAAGGAAGCAGTTCTGTCCCTTTTCAGCAAGTTCCAATGCTTATCTCCCCTGAGTATGAAAGATTTCCACCTTCACTCCTGGTTCTCTTCTCTCACCATCCTCGTCAACTACAGCGGACCCAGAAGCCACCATGAACATATTCATCCCTCCTCTCACTCTGGTTCTTCTCCCAGGCCCTTAACTTCAGCTACTATCTATACCAGAAAAATCTCCCAAATATACCTTTGGCTAGAGCATCCCTGAGATTGGGGTTTTAATAACCAACTGCTCTAAAAGTGTCCAGCCGAATGTGGCATAGGCTGTTCAAAGTCACCATCTTTAAACATCTTCAGTCCAGACTTGCTCTTTCTCCTGCATCTCAGGATATCCATCCAGGTCTACGGGCTTCAGCACATCATCTGTAGAATCCATGTGCTCTTTCCATCTCTGCTTCCTCTCTTTAACTCACGACTCTAACAATAACTTCCATTATAACAACATCAGCCCCATGAGTAGCCTTTCTTCTGTTAGTAAACATCCCCTGCCTCACACCCTCAA